CAAGGGATTGCACAACCCTCCCAGCTAATGACATGGCTCCCTAGTAGTTTTCCTAGCTCCTTCCCCCGCCCTACTAGTTCCAGCCTCGGTCCTGGTTGTATCTCCACTGCTGGCCTGAGCCCAGCTAGTTAGCCTCAGCTTCCCAGTCAGTGACATCTCTATAGCATGTCTCCTGGGCAGCTCCTTCCCCAGCTCAATGCCCAGTTTCATCCCAAATGCTCCTCCTGCTGAGAGCCTCAGCTATGCAGTTAGCATTACTGCTAGAGCTACTAAGCAACCCTCTTAGCCAGCGGAGGAGTCGAGTTGGTACGAGGAGTGGAGTTGGGTTACATCTGGCCGGTACCGCGTAATGGTATAATCTACCTTTTACTGTATGATGAGTACAGGACTGTCCGACGGTTTTCACTCAGACTTTAAAACGACCATGACTGGTTCTCATTCTAAGGGCATGTTTTAAGGGCATGTTTATTTAAGAGCATGTTTAAGGGCATGTTTCAGATTTAAGGGCATGTTTTAAGGGCATGTTTTTATAAGGGCATGTTCATTCGTGATAAGGGCATGTTCTATGGTATTTCAATGAAGGCTTAAGGGCATCTTTCGAGGCATTAAGGGTATGTTTTAAGGGCATGTTTATATAAGGGCATGTTTAAGGGCATGTTGAAGATTTAAGGGCATGTTTAAGGGCATGTTTCAAACGGTGCTCAGGCGTGGAGATTTCATTTATAGAGCCTGAGTGAAAACCGTCGGTCTGGTCCGGTACATATGGTTAGCCTGTAACCCCAAAACGAGGACCAACCATTGATTGATTGATTGATTGATTGATTGACACACCAAACAACAAAATCCGCAACAGGCCAACTCCGTAGTTGGCGATCACCTAGACGTTGCTTGTTAGTGTTTGATAGCTATCCACGTTGGCTGGTGGGAGTCCACATACATGTTGCAATAGAGAAAAAAAGAATATTGAGGGAATAACTCAGTTTCCACCCCAAAAGAGAAAAGAAAAAGAACATAGTCTAGATAAGATCTGTGCCACTGCCGTTTCCACCTTTCATTTTCCATTAGTGCAGTTGCTGGGTGGGCACAGAGGAGATATTCGAGACTCGTTGGGCACTGCAATGTCTCAATGGGTCTACTAGTACTATCGGTACCGGTATCGTACTAGGTGGCATCCAGTCATGCTTCATCCGGTCTCTGTATTCTCCAACGCCGCACTGAACAAGATGCAGGGATTCTCATCATTGCTCCTTTTCTGTACGGTAGGCGAAGAGCCAACAACCACCGGTGTTGAGGAGAGACAAGAAACAAGAAGAACCATGGACTGGCTGCACCTGTCTTGCATGCAGTTAGTTGCAGCTCCACTGTGGTAGTTTCGGGTTCCGGCAGACATGCTCATGGCTGCGATTCATCTCACGATCGTACCTGCAGTCCTCCCTGATCAAGCGACAAACTGCGGTTTTGGCAGGCAAGCAGGATTCAATCCTTTTTGCCTGACCGATGGAAACGAATTACCGGTACCGGTACCGATATACATACCGGTACATGTAGTTGTGTGCGAGCTATCATGCTCTGTCTGGGTAGTTAGTTTTTCACCAAGGCAGCCGAACTTAAAGCAATGAATGAGCACAGCGTAATCCACAACGAAATACCCGTGGCTCCGTACGGTGTGATGGTTGCTGGGTATTGTGGCACAATCGCTTTAGTTAGTACTATGCTTGATTACGAGCGTAGTGCAAAAAAAAACCTGGACGTACGAGTACAGTACAGTACTAGCTAGCTAGCTAGTAGTGTACAACAGCGCTTGCTTTGTTCCCATCCAGTCTGCCGTGGCGTGGGTGAGCTCATGAATGGTTCCTTTGAGCGAGCATGGAGTGGAAAGTAATGGAGCCATAGTGCGACCTACTACTATTTTAAAGCACTAAAAAGTTGAAAAGAGCACCTGCATCCCTCGTGTCCTTTGCACTTGGATACCCCTCCATTGGGTTTGTTTGTAGTGGTTAATAAAAACCTACCTTTCTCCGCCGCCTCTTGACCAACCGTTTCTAAAGACTGCCACCCATCCTTGTTATTGCTGCTATTGCCATCTGTTAGTGTCTGTTTGTTTCTCCTTTGAATGTCCTCCGAGACGGGTTCAGTAGATCTACAAGTGGACAGTACGACAACGATGCCTTCCGGTGATGCCGCGCATTCGCGCAAATCGAAATTGACCGTGGCTTCGGGGGGTGCCGATCCAGCGGCGGCGACAGCAAGACATCACCACCACCACCATCATCCATCGCAACACAGTAGTGGTAGCAATAATGCCGTGAACCGTCCGATGCAATATCTGGCTCGTTTGACGGATTTTCGACAAATGGACATTCAATCGGCATTGGATCAAATGAAGACCCTCTTGACGTCACGTCCGCATGTGGTCTACAAGACGAGTTATTATCGCAAGCAAACCAAGAATCACTGGGCACGAGACGATCCTGCCTTTGTGGCGCTCCAGGGCATCTTTTTGATCATTGCCTGTATTGCCTATGCAGTGGCATTTAAGGCGACCATTACGGGAGGAATCTCCTTTTTGCTCTATTCGGTCCTTTGGAATTGGCTGGGAGCCGGATTCTTAATTGCCACTATTGGAAGAGAAATCGCCAATCGACACTTGACCGTACACAGCTCGTCCAGTCATGTCAAACAATCCGTCGAATGGCTATATGCCTTTGATATTCATTGCAATGCTTTCTTTCCGCTATTTGTCGTATTATGTGAGTATCAACTGTATGGGTATTAAAGAAAGATGTACTGTTGTCGGGAACTAACGTTTTTTTCTGTCTTTTGTTTTATTGAATAATGACAGACGCCGTTCAATTCTTTATGCTCCCCGTGGTGTTGGGAAGCCATTTCATGGCCATGGTGTTGGGAAATACCATGTACGCCGCGGCCCTGTCGTGGTATTGGTATGTCACCCATTTGGGATACAGAACGCTACCCTTTCTATCCAATACCGAAGTCTTTTTATTCCCCATTGCGGCCATTGTTGTGGTGTATGTGTTGAATTTGATACTGCATCCCTTTGGTTTTAGTTGGAATACATCCATTCTCATGGCACGATTCTACTTTGGATCTTATCTCATGTAATAATGAACGAACCAACGAAACAAACGAACGAATCAACAACAAGAGATAATGGGAGGGCAGCTTTCAGTATTATTACTACTACTACTACATGATGACAATTAGCAGCAGGCACAGCACCGATCGCTTGCGAAAGATGCATGGCAAAAGGCAATGGCAATTAACTCTCGAGCGCACACCTACACACAACCTCTCTACATTACTTACCTTACAATCAGCTCCGCTCCAGTTTGCCAGCAGCAATAATCAGCAATTTGCTGCTTCTTTTTTTCTTACGTACTAACCAAAGAGCCTTGGTGAATAGAACGCTTGACGAATTATTCTCGCCTATTTTATAGTACCAGTACCATCGGTCATACCTGGGTTTCCCATCGTTTGAAAGTCACTCGTACCAAAGCTACTCCAACTTCTGAACATGCATGTATAGAAACTTCTTCGGCTATTGGAACATGGACGCAGTTGTAGCAAATGTTGGTCCTCAATTTGTCGTGCCTGATCCCATGGAACCTAGTCCTGATTTTCGCCTTTTCTTTGCTTGCCAGGCCCCTCCCTGGCTTGGGTAGATATCTTCCCTGCTCAGGATTATAATTAATTGAACGACTGTGGCTACAAGCTTAGATCTACAGTACTAGCTACATGTAGACTCTAGCTAGAGTACCTGGTACTGGCTCAGTGGAGGCGAGGCTCGGGAGTGTTGTCGCCGAACTGCTCTGGGATGGTTTGGGGTGCTTTCTAAAGTTAGGGCCAAGAGTGAAAGAGCGGTTTGGGGTTAGATTTAGGGTTAAGCCTGAAAAAGTATCTTGCCTTCGATCTTCCTGGTCATTGCTTCGACGCCAAACTCTGCGTCAATCTGCAGCAACTCGTTCTTGCAGCAGCATTGTTGGCACTCTCCGCCAATTACCATCGCCTTGTGTAAGCAAATGAGGAGAGACATCACGGTCATGCAAAGCGAGAGTCTTCCTCTGGCTATCGGAGCAAGAGGTAAATGCTACCAGGGCTTGCTGGGTCGCCACGGTTCTGTACAATCCACCGGTTGCTTTCCTTCCTACAATGTAGGGTATGTGAAATTCGCGCTGGTGCTACCAACAAAGCAACTTCCCTGTGATTGCCTCCACCAGAAACGTTACCCTGCTAGCAAGTTAGAGCTGTGAAATCACAACGGCTACCGGTAGCAACCTACCGTACTTGTACGTGCAAAACAAACGAAAGCAAGCATTGATATCTGATATCCTATTCTCACAAAGAAAGCAAGAGCAGCACGAGCAAAAGTCAAACCAAGCTATCATGTGGAGCCCGTTTGGGGAGACCAAGGTATACATCCCCTTGTCACTGGATGAGGCAATGTACGAACATCCAAGAGCCGACAATGGAGATGAATCTTCTAGCAGTAGGAGTTGGAAGGAACCAACCTGCTTTGACACGAGCGGTAACAGCAGTGGTGAAGAGACTGAGAACAATCACTCATGCTCCATGGATTTGTTCTATGAAGACTCAGAAGAATTTTTTCTTGAGTTGGGTGAGATTCGTGGCCTCTTGAGGGATGAGATTGGAAACGGTGATGTTACCGAAGTGTTGATGGGGCTGAAGGCTCTGGCAGATCACCTCAGGCCCGAGAATCGAAATGCTCAGTGCAACATCAACCACGCCTTCAACGCGGGAGCTCCGCATGTCGTGGTCAACGCCATGGGAAAATGGCATTCTTCTGCTCCCATTCAAACCGTGGCATGTTGCTGCATCTTTTACCTTGCATACGATTTCAATGCGAGCGGTGATGTCATTGCCAAAGCTCGACGCATGGATCTTGCAAAGGCGAAGGGACTAGAGGCTGTCGTGACTGCCATGAAGACCTTCCCCGAATCCAAGCCGATTCGATTTTCTGGATGTGGCGCCATGATGAAGTTGATTCCTGTTGCTGAGAAACTCGGGGAAAGGCGCAATAGTGTGAATAGCAACGCGATTGCGGTGGCTGTTCACAATGCCACGAGACGTTGCGTGGAAGATTTGGATGGCATCTCCGTCTTGACAGAGACGATGAATATGTTTCCTGACTATGGGGGGTTGCAGTCAGTATGCTTGGAAGCACTTTGCAAACTGGCTTCGCACGAAGAGTTCAAGGCGGCGGCAATGAGAGATTATGTCGTTGAAGCTGTGGCAGCAACCCTTGAAACCCATGGAGAAGACGAGTCAATCAGTGTCAGGCAGCACGCAACTTGTTTCTTGCTCAAGAGCATGATGGCCAATCAGAGGGCGACCAGGAGGAAGAGCAAGACAACAACAAGGAGCAAGTTGAAGCTAGCTTCGTGCGAGTATGCAGCCTAAAAAGTGGTTCCTGGTACGGTACGATGTGACGTTCAGAGTGGTGCGGTGAGGCGCGTAATTAGAGTGGTTCGGCCAGTATACATTCAGTAATTCATAAAGAAGAAACATGGTAAAAAAGAGTTCGTGGGCGCCTGCCTGGGTTACTCGGCATTTTGTCTGTTTGGGAAAGTGTTTTGGCGATTAAGTGATCCTTATGTAAATGTCTACACACTGTTAGTAGACATAAGTAGACAAAGTAGACATTGTGCGACTTTAGGAGACATTAGTAGACAAAGTGATACATTGTGAGACATTGGTAGACAAAGTGAGACATTGTGAGACATTGTGAGACATTGGTAGACAAAGTGAGACATTTTTGTACTGTTTTACTGTACTGTGTAGACAAAGTGAGACATTGGCAGACATTAGTAGACAAAGTGATACATTGGTAGACATTGGTAGACAAAGTGAGACATTGTGAGACATTGGTAGACAAAGTGAGACATTGTGAGACATAAGCCATTTTTTCTAAGGAGCATAGAACATTTAGGCAACTCTGTAATCAGATACAATAGCTTTTAAAAATAGACAGAATGCCGAGTAACCCTGGCGAGACAAGCAGAAGCTATGGCAATAGTGGAGTTTTTGCCAAGACTCCAACACAGGAGTTCAAGGGCTAGTAGCTAGCTAACTCCAGCAGACCAAGTCCATCCTCACTGCAAAGTCTCACACCACCTTCGCCCCCGCCCCGCCATCTTGATCCTATAGCCTGGAGGCTGACCAAGTTTAACGTGCGTTGACGAGTTTCCGAACTTGCTTCCTGGCCTCCAAGAAATATCACACCGAGGCATGGCACCACCCTTTCCGCAAAGGCTTTGCAACGCACAAGTCAGTCTAGAGAATAACCAACTCAGCGTCAAGCAATTCATCTTTTTTGCTTTCTTGTCCTCTCTGCCTGGAAGATCCAGCTAGCTTCCAAAATTCAGCAGACCAGAGGCAGATGCCGTTCAATTCACAAGAAAAACAGTGTCTGATGCAGTCTAAGCAGTAACCTGCTCATGAACAACTAGCTAGGAATGACGTAGCTGTTAGTCTACTGAGTATTAAAATTTTAGTTGTCTTATTTCAAACTCGAGTAATGCAACCTGAAAACGCTACGCAACAATTCTTGGTCCGGCTGGTGCCAGAGTTCCCTTTAGCCAGCAAGTGGCAAGTTTCCAAGTTGCCGCCTTGCCGCAAGCGAAGCGAGCGAGCATCCATTAAATTTTCAATAGTCCAGGAAGGTTTCGCTGCTATTCTTGATACTGGAGGCTGGAGGAGGGGCACGAAGTTGGAAGCAAAGCTGTTGCAGGGGAGCGGGAGAAGTACTACAGTACAGGTAGGTACCGGTACCGGTACCAATAGAAACAAGGAATGTAAAGGTACCGGTTGGTGGTGGCAGGTTGAATCGAATCGAATCTGTCTCGGACTCGGGCTGCGTGCTGCGTGCTGGGTTGACAAGCCACACCACCATGCGAAAAAAATTGTTGTCCATGAGAGGAGGGATAAAGCAACCTGGCACCTGGCAGTATAAAGAATACTTTGCGTGCTGTGGTAGCTGCTACTAGCGCAGCCAGCTTCGTCTACCTTCAATTCCAGTACGCCTCTCTTTAGCTCTGGACCGTCGTCAGGAAATGGGAGAGTCGTGGGAAAGCGGATGTCTCAGTCAGGACAGTACAAGTTCCAAGCTGCTTGGATCCAGAAGTGAAGTGCGGCTGGATGGATATGAGGGCTGTTAGCTGGGCTGTTGCTACTCCAGCTAGCCACGAAACAAGGCCACATCATGCCTCTGGCTGGCTACCGGTACCACGATGTTGCCGTGCATTGACCAGGAGCTGCTGGCGAGCTAGCTAGCTAGCTAGCTAGCTAGCTAGCCAGTAGAGGGGTCCCAGAACGATTATGCTGTGCTGTACCGGTGCACTCAATTCTGCCTCGAGCTCGGGGGCATCATCTGTTGTTGGTGAAAAGTGAAAAGGAGGGTTTTTAGAAAGAAGAACGCGACAAGAACACCTGTGGTACCCGACGTTACCCGTACCTGGTACCTGAGCCTGCGTGGTGCGTGGTCTCACAACGTCACAAACGCAAGTTCGGGAGGTGGCTTCACAAAGACTTGCCAGATGGAAAGTTTACTGTTGTCTTGCACTTAGTTTTAAGCCGTCCAAATCGTATCTTGCGTGTGAAATCCTGCTGCTACCGCACTGGTACCGGTACTGGTAGCCAACTACTGTACTAGTATGCATAGCTACCGGTACCACCGGTAGACGTTCACGAAGATTTTCTGTGATCCATCTTTCTATCTACCTGGGATTCGATTCTTTTATTCTTGCTCTTACACCACGCATATTCCATTTATGCCATGGTTTGAGAGGGGCGCTTCTGTTTTACTGTTATGAGCTGTTGAATGGTCCTTGTAGCCATGGTAGCTAACTATCAGTGATCAGTGATGGAACCAAGCAACACCAGGCACAGATGGGGTCTGCTTTAAATTTGAAGCGATAACAACATAAAAACTACATGTATACTAGTTAGTACGACTGTACTGTGGAGTAGGAATCAGCAGGCTGGCATACATGCACCGGTATATCTTAAAAAAGAGTGGATACATCTACAAACAAATTGCTTCAACTGCAAAGGTTGCATTGAACATTCATCAACTTCTGTTGCCAAGAAAGCACAAGGAAACTCATGACTCCAAATCAGTTGCCTTTGAAGAAGTTCATGTAAAAGGTGTACTAGTAGTTAGTCAAGCTTCAATCCAAATGGCTTTGAACCAACCACATCAAGCAGCTATCGAACACAATTACGTAACACAAAATTAATGATAATTCTGCCTTGGACCTATTGCCCGAGCACACACGCGATGACAACGCGGGCCTTAGATTCTTGTTTTTGCCACCCAGCCAATCGTTTTGCTTGGGTGGCAGAAACAATGCCAAAAGTTCCACGATTGCGTTGCCCTCCAAGTACTAGCCAGCTAGCTAGCTATTAGTACTGCCAATCATTTTCTTTTTGATATTTGCTAGAAAAGAATTGGTACTGTAACATTTCACACAAAGCTGCAATTCAAGATGATCCCGAAACTCCACAAGAATGCATCCAGGCCCAGCGCCTCATGGCACCGCCAGTGCTTCGGCCATCTTCCCTGCGACGGCATGTACCTGTGGATGTCATTGAATGTCAATCGCAGACAAGGTTCACTACTAACCCATCTGCCTTGAAGGGCGACGCTGACTCTCTAAGCGGTGGCGAATTGGGTTCTCCCTTTTTTCTAATCCAACCGGCTGAGCTCGCCACATCCACCCCCAGGAGGCGCATCAGCAGCAATCGCAACACTAGAGCACTCATCATGCCTCGGCCAAAACCATTGAGGGCGATTCCTCGTTTGGGTGAAGATGGCCTACTGAAGATTTCTTGCGACCTGAGGAATCCCGAGAATCCAGCACCTCTAATGCCGGAACCAGCACCAGAAGCTGGGTCTATGACCCCTCAGCAAGAACCAAGGCGACGATACCGTCTCAAGAAACGAGTGATACCTGATGAAGAGATCGATTGCCGTGAACATGGTTGTGGATACATCCCTCTGGCAAACCATGGCATGAGGTGGCACGGTTGCTTGGCGTTCCCGATACCTGCCATGCTCAAAATGCCTGATTTGCCGGTGGAGTTCTGAACATTCTGAACTGAAAGAACTTAACTCCACGTCCTCGTGGCTATGATGGATTTTCCCGCTTGACCGACCCGCCTGAAGCTCTGTGTTGTGCTACTTGCTTCGGCACAATGGCTGATTTCCACACTACTACTACATTCCTGCGCACCGAAAGGGCCGGCTCCGGGAGCACAAGTACTTTGCTTGGCATGCATGCAGTTTCATTTTCACTATTCCTACACATGGTATCTACAACTTAGCTACTAGAGCATCTAACTAACTAATGCTAACTCCACTGTTCTTTTAACTTTGCTTGCTACTCGAGTATTCTGGACTTCAAGACAAGTTCATGGCTGGTGTCAAGTTCAGCCCAATCCAACCAGCGACATCCAGACACATCAGATTGCTTGACGTCTTCCATGAAATCAGAATTGGAGCAGCAGGCTGGCTAGCAGCATCTAGCTAGTTGCTACTGTACAGTACCTCGTCGAGTAATTGCAACAATCCTCTTGCGCGGTATGACTCTTTCTAGTAACCTTTGAGAGCGGACCTGGTGGTACGGTATCGGACACTGTGTACCATGTCCCATGTGGCAGAAAAAAAGTTTTGCTAGTTCAATCGAATCGAATCACAATCGAATGGCGCGGTGTTACTGTTCGGCCCGTGGGTTGGTGGTACATTTTCTTTCAATTTGGGGAGAACGATATATACAATGCACCTGAACCATACTGTATGGTAGAACGGGTACGTTCATGCTAATCCGCAGCACTACCAGTAAACTGTATGGTAGAATGGGTACGTTAATGCTAATCCGCAGCACTACCAGTACAATGTATGGTAGAAGGGGTACATACATGCTAACCAATCCCCAGCACTACTAGTATTGTAGAACAGGTACATACATGCTGAAGGCGTGTTGTAATCTAAGAAGAGTGGTGGGGAGTGGGGAGGCCATTTTCTAAGAAGCTTTTTCTTTCAATTTCCATTGAATGGAATTGCTTATAACTAGGGACTTATGTACCTAAGGTTTATTCTTTCTTGTTCTGTCAGTGCTACCTTATGTGGTTTCTGAGAAGCATTTTCTTTCAATTTCGGGTGAATGATATGCACAATGCACCTGAACAATACTAGTATACATGTAGTATGCACTGGTCTGTGCAGGTATTAATAGACCATTGTGACTACTGGTACCACACAAATTGGCAATGTGAGGCATGACCACTTTAATGCTTTTAATTTATTCAAACCATGTCGAAAGGTTATGGCTTTTAAAAGCTTGGACATCATGGATCTTGTGGGTTATTTGCCTGCATTTAACTAGTGCATGCTTTAACCCACCAAATTTGCTTAAATATGACCCTTAAAAGCAAAATCAGCTTTTGAACTGTTTGCTCTATACTAAATTTCCCAACCTTTTTTGCAGAATCCACCCCCAAAGAACAAGCAGCCGGAGGCTGATGCCCTCAACTGTCAAAAAGAGATTTGACTCTTTTAAAAAATGTCTTTGGCCAAATCCTTTACCGTGTTCAACTGGACACACTAGCAAGTCTCGATAGCCAGCCAGTATCAACCCATGTGTCCAAACTACTGTGTCCAACAGAACACAAAATTTAAATCCCTATCCTTAACAAGGAAAGTGGCCCCTATGTCCTTGGCCAAACCTACACCGTGTTTTTCTGGACACACTAGCAAGTCTGCATAGCCAGCCAGTACTGGTACCCATGCGTAGAAACTACTGTGTCCAACAGAACACACAAGATTAATCCCTATCCTTAACGAGCAACGAAAACAGCTGCAACAAACACACACACAAACACACACACACACATACACATACAGCGATAAAAGTGTGAAAGACCCTCAGTCCGTTGAGGGCAAAAAGTGTGAAAGACCCTCAGTCGGTTGAGGGCAACCCCCATTTTAAGTCGTTCGGTAGACCTCACGGATTGATGGAATAAATCATTCGAGCCGAATCTATGACCCCCAGATCTCGTAGACTGATCGATTTTCTGGTACTCAGAAATCCTCTACGTGCCTCGCGCGTAGACCTGGTACATAATCGCTGACGTGTCTGACACCAGAAAAAAGCAACGGCTGCGGCAAAAAGAACAACAAAATAAAAGAAACATGCTGACAATGGCAGATAATGGCAACAGTTGCTATGTAGAATGTTAAGACTGACATAGAACACCATACAGTTGTAACTCTCCACCATGCATGCGCAGCTATCACCAATTGGAAGTAGTAGCATAGATGCCATGGTCAGAGAGAAAGCTCAATTTTTCTTGCCAAATGGCACACACTAGTAAAGGTCCTAGCAATGTTGCATTTGGGCTGTGGCGACACAAAGGAAGGCTCCTTGTCATTGAGAGCCCATTGGAAACTGGACTACTCAATGACAAACTTACTTGCAGAAATGGGTCTGATGCACTACGCTAAAAGCTAGTGTAAAGATCTTTCGAGTGTTTTGAGTTTGAGAGAATGAAAGTTATGAGA